GGGCCGGTGCCCCACTCCACCCATCGGGAGCCCCCAAACGGGGTGGCGAACACACCGTGTGGTGAGTCGGTGGGGCTTCGGGGTCACCACACGGTTTTGGGATTTGGGTCGTTCTCCGAGGAGGTCTCGGGCGACTGGGGCCTCCAGGGTCCCATGGGCCGTGCGGCGACGGACCGTGCGGCGAGGTCTCTTGGGAGGCCGAGGTCACCGCACTGTTTGTCACCACACGGTTTTGGGATCCCCAAATCCCCGCCTCCCAACCCCCCATCCCGTCCCCGTCCCGCGGGGCGGTGCCCGGCGACGGCGCGCGGCCGCCTGCCAGGCCTCGGGTGCCTCTCGCTGCCATCGGCTGCGCTTCTGGGCTGCCGCTGCCGTCGTTATCCTCGGGGTCGTCGGCGTCCTCCTCCTCCTCCTCCTCCTCCTCCTCCTCCTCCTCCTCCTCCTCCTCCTCCTCCTCCTCCTCCCCGGCCTCGGCCTCCACCTCCTCCTCCTCCTCGGCCTCGGCCTCCTCGGAGTTATCGGTGCCCTTCTCAGGGTCGTCGAGGACTCGGACGGCCTGGTGGAAGTGGACCTCGCGCTCCAGGGTCGGCGAGCTGGAGGTGGACTCCGGGGCTGCTGGTGCCGACGGCCCTTTTGCGAGGCAGGCCGGGCGGCGCAGAAGTGCGCGAGGAGTGCATGGAGCAGCGCGCCGTCATGTTTTCGGCGGGTCCTCAACCATGTTGCCATGGAATCCGCAAGTATCGCTCCGCTGCACGATAGTGATTGGGCCCTCGCACTGCATCTGCCGGACGAGGCCCGCGACGGTGGCTCGGTGAGCGGCCTTCCTGAGCGCGTCCAGGAAGCGTGGCGCCAGTGGCTTCGGGGGAGGCGCAGCCGCGGAGAGCGCGCTGCCGAGGGTGGTGCCGCCGAGTTCGCTGCCGAGGCTGCCGCGGGAGGCGCTGCCGTCGAGGTTCGCGCTGAAGGCACTGCGGTTTTTGACGCTGCCGAAGCTCGGTATCGTTAACCCGATCCCCATCCCCATCCCCTTCGAGAACCCCACCAAACTACCCCCCAGTTGGGGATACACCCCTCGAAACCCGAAGGGAACGGCCTCTATCCCCATCTAGGGGGTACATCGGCCAGTGGGGGTCAGGCCACGCCGCTAGGGATGGGGATCGGTTAAACGATACTCAGACGCTGCCGGCGATGATGCAGATGCCGAAAGTCTGGCGGAAGGCGTGGCTTCCGAAGGCGGGAGTGTAGCCGTCGAAGTGAGCGCCGCCGCCGCTGCCGAAGCAGGCGGGCCCCCGGGGGCGCAGCAACCGACGCGGCTGCCCGCGAAGGAGTTGCCGCCCTCGGAGTTTTTAGCCGTAGGCATTGCCACTGCTGGCCGCGGCGAAGGCGTTGCCGTTGAAGGCCGCGCCGACTGCGTTGGCAGCATTGAACTGCTCGAGGGCGGTACCGAGTGCTCGAGCGTTGCTACCGAAGGCGTTGCAGGAACTGCAGCCGGCGAAGCTGTTGCAGCTCGCGGCGCCGAAGATCTCGCCGAAGGGGTAGTGGTCTTAGCTGCGCTGGTGAAGCCGTCCTGGTTGCATTTCTGCAGCCCAGACTTTCGCCGTGGCGATGGGGGGGTAAGTCGGGATTTTGTACCAGTGAGGCCTACACAGAAAACGCGCCCCCTCGAAGACCAGAGAGCGTTTCGGCCCACAGCTGCAGCCATCTTCCATGTGGCTCGCCAGAAGTTCTCGGTTCGCCAAGGAGTCCCTGTCTTGATCCCGCGGCCGCCCGCTCTGCCTCCCTCCTTCCACTTTGCACGATGGCCAATTCGCTACAACGGTGCCTCCTCCTCCTCCTCCTCCTCCTCCTCCTCCTCCTCCTCCTCCTCCTCCTCCTCCTCCTCGCTCCTCCTCGCTCCTCCTCCTCGCTCCTCGCTCCTCGCTCCTCGCTCCTCCTCCTCCTCCTCCTCCTCCTCCTCCTCCTCTCCTCCCCTCCTCCTCCTCTCCTCCTCCTCCTCCTCGCTCCCCCCCTCTCCCCCTCCGCCTCGCTCCTCGCTTCCTCCTCCTCCTCCTCCCTCCTCCTCCTCCTCCTCCTCCTCCTCCTCTCCTCCTCCTCCTCCTCCTCCTCCTCCTCCGCCTCCTCCTCCTCCCCTCCCACTCCTCCTCCTCGCTCCTCGCTCTTGCTCCTCGCTCTTCCTCCTCCTCCTCCTCCTCCTCCTCTCTCCTCCTCCTCCTCCTCCTCCTCCTCCTCCTCCTACTCCTCGCTCCCTCGCTCCTCGCTCCTCGCTCCCCTCGCTCCTCCACCTCCTCCCCCCCTCCCTCAGTCCTCCCCTCCGTTGTCCCCCTCCTCCTCCTCCTCCTCCTCCTCCTCCTCCTCCTCCTCCTCCTCCTCCTCCTCAGCGCAGACGACCCCTGCCTGGCCGCCGGCGAACTAAGAAGTTTCCGGGGCCCTTGTCGTTGGCGACGGACCTGCGGCGACCCAGCTCCTCCTGCCGCTCTGGAACGTCCGGGCCGCGCTCTGGACCTCATGGGGGCCGTTCTGGAAGCCGTCCGGGCTTCCCTGGGCAACGCTGGGGATCGCCTGCGGCCCAGGGACGCCTCGAGCAACACCTGATGGGCCAATTTTTTCCACCACCACTACCATAGGTAGGACAGGGGAGAATGAAGGATGGGGAGGTCCTCCACCTCCTCCACCTCCTCCTCCTCCTCCTCCTCAGCGCAGACGGCCCCTCCCTGGCCGCCGGCGAACTAAGAAGTTTCCGGGGCCCTGGTCGTTGGCGACGACCCTGCCGCTCCTCGCTCCTCGCTTCTCCTCCACCTCCTCCACCTCCTCCTCCTCCTCCTCCTCCTCCTCCTCCTCCTCCTCCTCGGGAAGGCCAGTTGCCCCGAGGGCCAGCGTCTCTCTTGGCGTCGAGGCTTGGGGCACATATGGCGGGCCTCCCTGGAAGCGCCCGGTGTGGTCCCCTCACTCGGGTTGGCAAGCGCAGGCGCTAATTATCGGGGGCGGAAAAGAGGGGGGTGATGACTAGGGGGGGTGGATATCATGGCGTGAGCCATGATATTTCCCCAGATTTCATGGCGCCTCTTCTTATTTCATTACGTCCCTGGCCCCCCCGCTGGGCCGCGCACATGCCGCCGGTCATGATTTGCACCCCCCCCTCCTGGACACCCCCCTCTTGGCCGCTCCCGAAATTACGGGTGACCATTGGATGCAGTCAGGAGTTCAGGAAACGAGGAGCCCACACTTCTCATGCTATCATGTCGCGGGCTGTCTGCAATCGCTCTGGCTGAAGCGCCCCTCGATCCTGCAGCTTGCAGCAGGGCCATGCGACCCCCCGAGCCTGATGGGTGAAAATCTGTCGCCGGTGGATGGGAGACACTCGGCACACGCAACCATAAACCCAATCCTCCCTCCTCCCCAGCGGGGGGGGGGGCAGGCGAAGGAGGAGGGGGGAGAGCAGAGACTAAAGTGGGATCGTAGCAAGCGTTTCCCGAGGTGGAGTCCCAAGACCGGGGCCAGAGGAGGTCGGGGAGAGCGTCGCCATTTCTGCACAGCGACGCGAAGAACAACTTTCTGCAGCAGACGCGCGGGGTACGCTACCGCCTCATGGCCGACGTGACGCACATGAGCCGAGGCGTCGTGCTCCAGGATCCAGACATGTGGCCCTGCATGAAGAAAATATTCGGTAAGTTGGTCGACAAGTTTTTCGCCGACGTCGACAGAGAGGTCGAGCGGAACCTGGAGAATCTGAAGCAGAGGTCTGCCTCGAGCCACAACGAGATGGGGCCCGACGGTGCGAGCAGAGTGTGGTTGGCCGTCCGTGCCTTCGTGCTCTATCACTACTTGCCCTGCGATAAGTCGATCTTCGGGAAGTTGAAGGACCCTGTCTACGTCTTGTTCTACGTAGCGACATTGATACCCATCCACGGCTTGCGCATCGCATTATTTTCAATATTGCTGATGATGCTTGCAATCCCAGCTCCGCCAGATGAGTACCAGCTCATCAACTACATACTCATATTCAAAGGTGTGCAGTTCCTGAGCACTGGCGTGGGGCAAACGCTGAAGGCTTGCCTGGAAGATTTCCTTTGCTACTCCTTCTCTGCTGATAGGCTGGGGGACTGCATCGATACAATTGGCGCTGGCTCTGGCTCCTTTTATTTACAGCTTGTCGACTATGTGGGGAACGCTGCGCTTGTATGGATTGCGTTCGGGCTTCTGGGTGTATCCGACAGTAAGACAAGGCCCGAGTCGATGACCGATGCGAAGGTGGAGGGATTCCAAGCCGTTTTCAATGCCGGCGGGAGACTTTACACGCTACTGAAGTACGACATTTCTTGCTTTATCGGATCCCTCGTGCTCTTGCTCCTGCTGATGGTCGTGACCTGCTGGATTCCCTCTGGGCGGCCGTGGCACGAGGGCCAGTATCAGTTCAACCTCTTCTGGTGCAACGTCATTTACTCCTTTGCCTCGATACCGTTCGCTATCTTTGTCATCCCAGGCATCCAGACTCTTCTCGGAGGAGGGCCAGTTGAGACGGCGGTCCCCGGACCCCTCCCGGTGTCCATCCCGACCCGCTTGTCGATGGGCGCGACTTCATGGGGGGGGGCAGCGAGGGTTGCAGAAAAGGAGCCCCGCAGCGCCCCTGAGCATGCCCTCTCGGGCCCCTGAAGTGGGCCTTTGGGGCACGAGCAGGGTACCTTTCTCCCGCCCCCTCTCGTTGATCGCCCTCCGTCGATTCGCGCGCCCCCCTTTCGAGGCGGGTCCGGCCGTGTCGACGAGGGGCCTCCAGGAGGCCCCCGAGATGGACGAACTCTCGGGCCCCATGGGGGGGCCTTCGGGGCCCGACGAGGGCACCTTTGCCCCCCCCCCCCGCTGCCATCGCCCCCCGTCGAGTCGCGCCCCCTCTCGCGGCGCATCCAGCCGTGGCGGCGAGATGCCCCCCCCCGCAGGCCCCCGAAAGTGGGCGGGCAAGCCGCCGCGAGGGCCCCGACCCGGGCCCTCCTCCGACCCCCTCTGACCCACAACGACATCACCGGGTACAACGAGCACGGCGCCTGCCTCCTGTTCGAGTTCGACCTCGAGGACCGGGTCGGACGAGATTCAGTCGGGGGTGGAGAGAAGCCCCAACAGTGACACGTTGATGAGTGAATTGTCCGTTTTCGGCTCTCGAGAGGGCGCCGTGGCCGTTATTTTCCAGGCTTGCGCCCGCCAGGTTTGGGCCTCAGGTCGTTTTCACTAAACCACGTTTTACTAAAGGGGGGTCTGTCCATCCCTGATTCAGAGGAGGACAAGGTACCCATACCGCCACCCTGTGCCCGTTTTTTCCCCTCGGGGGGGCCCCCTGCAGAGGCCCTCGTCGCCACTGCTGGAGTTCGCCTCGGAGTCTCGGTCAGACAGCACCCTGGGGAAGGTCCGGGGAGCAGCGGCATCAGTACCGTGCCGTTTTTGATACACGCTCCGCGTGCGGATCATGTACTGAGCATGCAGGCATTCAGTATCAAAAGCAACGATGAGCTCATGCAGACATTTATTCATGAACTAATCATCATGTGTTAAGATCCTAGATAAAAACAAAAACCATGTGTTAGAACCTGCCCTGAACCTCTTGGCATCCCCAGGCGAGGAGGAGGAGGAGGAGGAGGAGGAGGAGGAGGAGGAGGAGGAGGAGGAGGAGGAGGAGGATGGCATCCCCAGGCATGGGGGGAATGGAGACACGGGGGAGTCACGACACGGGCGGCGTGCGGCGGGCCGCGGGCCCCGCCGCCGGGCGCCATGCCTCCACACGCACGGTTCTCGCCGGCCGCCGCTCGGGGGCGGCGCCAGTGAGGAGCAGAGGTGCGCGAGCGGCTTCGCCAGCCCTCCTCCTCCTCCTCTCATCTCCTCCTCCACCACCTCCTCTCCTCCTCCTCCTCCTCCTCCTCCTCCTCCTCCTTCTCCTCCTCCTCCTCCTCCTCCTCCTCCTCCTCCGCCTTCCTCCTCCTCCTCCTCCTCCCCTCCTCCTCCCCTCCTCCTCCCCTCCTCCTCCTCCTCCTCCTCCTCCTCCTCCTCCGCCTCCTCCTCCCCTCCTCCTCCTCCCCTCCTCCTCCTCCTCCTCCTCCTCCTCCTCCTCCTCCTCCTCCTCCTCCTCCTCCTCCTCCTCCTCCTCCTCCTCCCCCTCCGCACCTGAGGCGCCGGGGGCGGCGCCAGAGGTGCGCGAGTGGCTTCGCCAACCCTCCCCCAGTTTCCTCTTGGAGGTGGCGGGGGGGCCTGACATTCAGAACAGGAAAAAAACATCAACACAAAAGGGTTTTATTGGTTTTACGGGTTTTACGCCGCGAGGAGCAGGTGCGCGAGTGGCTTCGCCAACCCTCCCCCTCTTGGAGGTGACGGGGGGGCCTGACGTTCAGGACAGGAAAAAACACACAAGCGCAAAGGGTGCGCGAGTGGCTTCGCCAACCTCCCCCAGTTTCCTCTTGGAGATGGCGGGGGGGCCTGACATCCAGGACAGGAAAAAAGCACATGAACGCAAAGGGTTTGACTGGTTTTACGCCAGAAAAGAGCGTCGCTGAGAGGGTGCCAACCCTCCCCCAGTTTCCTCTTGGAGGTGGCGGGGGGGCCTGACATTCAGAACAGGAAAAAGCACATGAACGCAAAGGGTGCGCGAGTGACTTCGCCAACCCTCCCCCAGTTTCCTCTTGGGGGTGGCGGGGGGGCCTGACATTCAGAAGATGCAAAAACACAAACGCAAAGGGTGCGCGAGTGGATTCGCCAACCTCCCCCAGTTTCCTCTTGGAGATGGCGGGGGGGGCCTGACATCCAGGACAGGAAAAAAACACATGAACGCAAAGGGTTTGACTGGTTTCACGCCAGAAAAGAGCGTCGCTGAGAGGGTGCCAACCCTCCCCCAGTTTCCTCTTGGAGGTGGCGGGGGGGCCTGACATTCAGAACAAGGAAAACACACATAAACACAAAGGGTGCGCGAGTGGCTTCGCCAACCCTCCCCAGTTTCCTTTTGGAGATGGCGGGGGGGCCTGACATTCAGAGCAGGAGAAAGCACATAAGCACAAAGGGTTTGACTGGTTTTACGCCAGAAAAGAGCGTCGCTGAGAGGGTGCCAACCCTCCCCCAGTTTCCTCTGGAGATGGCGGGGGGGCCTGACATTCAGAACAGGACAAAGCACATAAGCACAAAGGGTTTTCTTGGTGTTACGCCGGAAAGGAGCGTCGTTTTGAGAGGGTGCCTGGCACGGAGGCGGGGTCGGGGTGGCGTCGGTGTTTTCGGAGCTGGCGGTTTGCGTGGCGAGTGCGTTTCGCTGGTCGCATGTCACGTGAGGCCTGCGTGTGTCCAGCTTGGCGGAGGGTTAGTCGGGCAAAGCGGCACACACCGGTATAGCAGCGCCAGGGTTTCCAGCAGAGATCGCCGCCTTGCGAAACTCATCTCGAGCCCCTCCGTCTTGGTGGTGATGGCGCCGTTCCGTCTCGGTCCGATTCGATCTGGTGTCCAGCCGGACCGATCCGATTCGATTTCGTTCTCCGAGCGATCTGATGCGGCCCGATGGTCGCGTGGCATTGCTGTGCATCCTGGCGCGGCCAAGCCTACTCGATTCCAACTCCGTAAGCCGATGCAGCCCGACCCGACGCTCATGTCGATTCGACTCGATTTCCCGGCCCGATGTTGACTGATCCCACCAACCGCCCTTTTCGTGTGGAGTTCGCTGCTGAGGTCGTGCCGACGCGAGCCCCTTGGACTCCTCGAGGCCGCTGGGCGCCCCCTGGACCTCTCAACGAGAACCGGAGCCACTCGACCAGGGACGGTCGAACACAAACAACAACAACCGCCCTCTTCGTCCCATCCGAGAGGATTGGTAGTCCCCAAACGTGGTGGTGACAACACCTGGCGGTGAGTCTCGGGCGATTCGGTGTCACCACCCGGTTTGGGGACTCCTGCGGCCTTCCGAGGATGTCCCGGACGCTGGTGGGTCCAGGAGTCACAAAACCCGGTGGTGACCCCGCGTCCCCAAACCCAGCGGTGACCTTTTTGGGGATTCCAGGTCGCCACCTGGTATCTCACCGCCCGGTTTGGGGGTTCCCAAGAGGAGGAGGCCACGGAGGCCTCCAGCGAGCGGTCCGCCCCCGTGGAGGGCGGCGCAGACTGGCTGGGCAGGACCGCCGAGGTGGCCAACAAGGTGCTCCACGTCGCCCAGGTGGGCCGCCTCGAGCGCGGCGGCACTCGGCGGTGCTCAGAAAGCCCTGACACTATCGTGGTCGTCGTCGTCGTCGTGGTTGTCGTCGTCGTCGTCGTCGTCGTCGTCGTCGTCGTCGTCGTCGTCGTCGTCGTCGTCGTGGTCGTCGTCGTCGTCGTCGTCGTCGTCGTCGTCGTCGTCGTCGTCGTCGTCGTCGTCGTCGTGGTCGTCGTGGTCGTGGTCGTCGGCGTGGTCGTCGTCGTCATCGTCGTCGTCGCCGTCGCCGTCGTCGTCGTCGTCGTCGTCGTGGTCGTCGTCGTCGTCGTCGTCGTCGTCGTCGGCGGTGCTGTCGTCGTTTGCAGTTATTGGTCGGTTACCAGACTCAGCGACATGGGGGTATATGCACAGATGCTGACTCCACAGGCCGGGCGGCGGTGGAGGCGGAAGCCCGGGGGAAAAAGATGGCAGGAGGCACGAGCGGGCTCACGATGCCTGCTGTACAGTCGGGGTCCTGAAGAAGGAACCCTTTTCGTTTGGGAGGGGCTCCGCGTTCCTTAAGTGTTTCGCAGCTTGCCTCAGGTTTTCCTGATGTTTTCGATCGGAAATCGAAGTTCAACTTATGGAAAAAAGGGGCCTTGTTCCATAGTTTGGGTTCCTTTGGTCAAGGCCCCGACTGCAGCACGAGGCGCCTCGGAACGTGTCTCGGTGTCTCTCCACGGCAAGCGCTCCGCCACGGGCTGGCTCTGCACCTCCGCCCCAGCACTCGGGCCGGGTGGAGATCTCGAGAACTGGTGGGGGGGGCCACTTGGGGGACCCCTGGGACGGCTCAACGAGCAGGGGAAAAGCGGCTGAGGTTTCCCCCGCCTTCTTAAACATCCACGATGCAGCAACTCGTTGCAAGCCTACACGTTAACGAAGTTATTGGTCGGCTACCAAACTCAGCAACATTGGATACGCACAGATGGCTGACTCCAAGGGCTGGGCGGCGATGGAGGCGAAAGCCCGAGGAAAAGAAGAGGCAGGAAGCACAAGCGGGCTTCCGATGATGTCTGCGGCGCGAGGTGCCCTTGGAACATGTCTGAGTGCATACCACATCAAACAATCTACCACGAGGTTGCTCTGCACCTCCGCCAACCTTGGGACCATCAGCTCAGGCAGCGTGGAGTGTGGCTACGTCCTTGGCCATGGCGGCCGAGACGCCCTTGGCCTGCCCGGCCGAGTCGTGGATATAGCCGCAGACCGCTTGCGAACTCCATCTGCCCCACCTCTCGACCGCCTCCGCGGCGCCCAGCGCGTGCCACAGCGCTGAGGCCCCCCCGATGCGCAAGGAGTGCGACTGGAACCTGCGCGGGGGGGGGGCCTCAGCCACGGCTGCGCGCCGCAGCGCGCTGCTTGCAGCTGGTCCCTCTGGACCACCTGGCCGCTGCTCCCGCGGAAGATGGGGAGCCTGCCCTCGGTGTCTTCCTCGAAGCGCTCCAGGGCCGCCACTGAGCACACGCCTCCGCCCGAGCGGAGGCGGATCCTGCACGCTCCGAAGGCCTTCTCTTCCGCATTGGCCCTCCTGAAGGTGGCGAGGGCTTGCGCGGCCTGGTCGGACTTCTTGCCGATCTTGCCGCCCCTCCTCGCCGTGCAGGGCCACGTCGGCGCCCCGCCTGCACACTTGGTGGTCGCCCTCCCCGCTGCCGCCGGTGCCCTTCCCGGCGCGGCGGAGGCCGAAGGAGCCCGTGGCGAGCGTGGCCCAGAGCACCGCCGCGTCGAGCGCCTCATCGCCTGCCTTGGTGCTGCGCGGAGCGCCTGGGCCTGGGCCTCCCCGACGGCGTCGGAGCAGGTGAGGTCGGAGGATCGCGCCGCATCGCCGGTGCATCGGCGATGCGGCTCGATGTGGAGCCCGTGATTCCCCACGCCGACGTCGCCGATGCATCGCCGACGTTGACAATGCATCGCCGATGCATCGCCGATGCACCGGCGATGCATTGGCGATGCGGCGCGATTCTCCGACCACACCTACTCGGACCCCATCTGCGAGGCCTCTACCACAGGCTGCCGGTCCGGCTCCTGCTTCGGCCACGTCATCGTCCTCGGTGTGACGCTCGGCTTCCGTCGCCATTCTGCGCAGCGAGTCAGTGGGCAGTTGTCCATCTATGGGCTTCCCGTAACTCCGAATTATGGGAAGCCCATCGGGCGCCGGATTCCCCGCGGGTTTCTGGCCGACCTATGGGGTTCCCATCATTTGCGGCGGCGGGCGGGGTCCAGATTCCGAATTATGGGAAACCCATCGGCGGCCAGATTCCCTAGGGAATCTGGCGGCCGATGGGTTCCCCATAATTCGCACACGCCAGCGGCCCCGTGGAATTTCACAGTTTCCCGGACGCCGCGAAATTATGGGACATTTGAATTCGAATTCGCTCGCGCAATGGGGCCGCCGAGCGGGATCGAGATTCAGAATTATGGGAAACCCATCGGCCGCCAGATTCCCTCAGGGGTTTCTGGCCGCCGATGGGTTTCCCATAATTCGGAATTGCGGAAAGCCCATAGATGGACAACTGCCGCCTGCGAAATATGGGAAGCCCATCGGCCGCCAGATTCCCGAGGGGTTTCTGGCCGCCGATGGGTTTCCCATAATTCGCGGCGGCGAGTGGGGTCCAGATCCCGGATTATGGGAAACCCATCGGCGGCCAGAACCCCTGAGGGAATCTGGCGGCCGATGGGTTTCCCATAATTTTGAATCTCGATCCCTCTCGGCGGCCCCATTGCGCGAGCTAATTCGAAAGCAAATGCCCCATAATTTTGCGGCGTCGCTGGCGTGTGCGAATTAAGGGAAATTCACGGGGCCGCTGCCGTGTGCGAATGATGGGAAGCCCATCGGCCGCCAGATTCCCTAAGGGGTTTCTGGCCGCCGATGGGTTTCCCATAACTCGGGACCTGGTCCCCCGCTCGCCGCCGCACACTATGGGAAACGCATCGGCGGCCAGAACCCCCTGGGGATTCTGTCGGCCGATGGGTTTCCCACACTTCGGGATCTGGACCCCGCTCGCCGCCGCGAATCGTGGGAAGCCCGTCGGCAGCCAGCTTCCATAGGGGTTTCTGGCCGCCGATGGGTCTCTCATGAGTCGGGATCTGGACCCCGCTCGCCGCCGCGAAGTCTGGGAAACCCATCGGCCGCCAGAAGCCCCTAGGGAATCTCGCGGCCGATGGGTTCTTGCTTCGTGGCGGCGAGCGGGGTCCAGATCCCGAATTCTGGGAAACCCCTCGGCCGCCCAAAACCTCTGGCCGCTGCCCAAACCTGGGATCTGGACCCCCGCTCGCCGCCGCGAATTCTTTCCTAGGGGTCCTCTGGCCGCCGATGATGGTTTCCCGTGATTCTGCATCTCGGTCCCGCTCTCGGCGGCCCCCATGGCGCCAGCGAGTTCGAAGGCGATTGTCCCAACATTGCGCGGCGTCCGGGCTTCCGAAACTCCACGGGGCCGCTGGCGGTTTCCCAGAATCCGGGTTCTGGACCCTGCCCGCCGCCGCGAATTATGGGAAACCTATCGGCCGCCAGATTCCTTAGGGGTTTCTGGCCGCCGATGGGTTTCCCATAATTCCGGATCGCGATCCCGCTGCGAATTATGGGAATCCCATCGGCTTCCAGTCCCCCTCGGGAATCTGGCGGCCGATGGGTTTCCCATAATTCGGGGTCGCGATCCCACACTACCCGCCGCGAATTATGGGAAACCCATCGGCCGCTAGATTCCTCGGGGGTTTCTGGCGGCCGATGGGTTTCCCACACTTTGGCATCTGGACCCCGCTCGCCGCCGCGAATTATGGGAAACCCATCGGCGGCCAGAAACCCATCGGGAATCTGGCGGCCAATGGGTTTCCCATCTCGGACCCGCTCGGCGGCCCCTTTGCGCGAGCGAATTCGATTGCAACTGTCCCATAATTCCACGGGGCCGCTGGCGTGTGCGAATTATGGGAAACCCATCGGCCGCCAGATTCCCGAGGGGTTTCTGGCCGCCGATGCGTTTCCCATAATTCGGGATCTGGTCCCCCGCTCGCCGCCGCACACTATGGGAAACGCATTGGCGGCCAGAAACCCCTGAGGGAATCTGGCGGCCGATGGGTTTCTCATAATTCTGAATCTCGATCCCGCTCGATTGCAATCTCTGATCTCTGGCGAGCGAATTCGAATGCGAATGTCCCATAATTGCGCGGCGTCCAAGATTCTGTGAAATTCCACGGGGCCGCTGGCGCGGGCGAATTAAGGGAACCCATCGGCGGCCAGAAACCCATAGGGAATCTGGCCGCCGATGGGTTTCCCATAATTCGGGATCTGGACCCCGCCCGCCGCCGCGACTTCTGGGAAACACATCGGCCGCCAGGAACCCCCTAAGGACTCTCGCGGCCGATGGGTTCTTACTCCGTGGCGGCGAGCGGGGGCCAGATCCCGAATTCTGGGAAACCCCTCGGCCGCCAGAAACTCCTAGGGAATCTCGCGGCCGATGGGTTCTTACTTCGTGGCGGCGAGCGGGGTCCAGATCCCGAATTCTGGGAAACCCCTCGGCCGCCCAAAAACCTCTAGGGAATCTGTCGGCCGATGAGTTTCCCATACTTCGCAGGGGGCAATTCGGGGAAACCCATCGGTCGCCAGAAACCCTGAGGGAGTCTGCCGACCTGTGGGTTTCCAACAATTCGCGGCGGCGAGCAGGGTCCAGATCCGGGATTCTGGGAAACCCATCGGCCGCCAGAGAATCTGGCGGCCGATGGGTCTCTCGTAACTCGTGGGGACAATTCTGGGAAACCCATCGATCGCCAGATTTCCGATGGAATCTGGCGACCTATGGGTTTCCCATAATTCGCGGCGGCGAGCGGGGTCCAGATCCCGAATTAGGGGAAACCCATCGGCCGCCAAAAACCTCTAGGGAATCTGGCGGCCGATGGGGCTCTCGTAATTCGGCGTGGGCACTTCGTGGAAACCGATCGGCCGCCAGAAACCCCTGGGGACTCTGGCGGCCGATGGGTCTCCCACATTTCCAGGAGGAGCTTTTTTGAGGTCGTGGGGGG